TGTACCAGGTGCTTAGAATGGGAATGTTAAGATGGGGAAAAAAATAGATCCAAACACTAATTGGGAAAGAAGAGATGGAGACAAATACTGTGTTAAGACCAAAACATGCATTTATAAAAACTTTATGGGGGAAATTGGTCAGCTCTGCAGATTTTTCAGCCATTACTAACATCATTAGTAGCAATTAAGCTTTTCAACATTCAGAACCCACAAGAGTTCAATCGATAGTTTTATAAGTATAGTCTGTAATGGGGTGGGAGTGGAGGGATGGGAAGGCAGGATAGACAGACAAAAGTTAACTTTGTTTTGATGAAAATCTGTGACTAATTCTGCTATAGAAAATAATTACTAATATTGGCAGGTGACCATTTTTAAAAAGAGTAGAAAATGTATACTGTTTACATAATTTAATGACATAGAAATTATTTCTACACACCCTCTATTAAATACTTAAATTACTATTTTTTACCATAATATTTAATTCATATTAAGTTTACAGCACACTTGAATAGCTAAAATCAGGCCTCCAAATCCTGAAGGGATATCACTGGTCTTTCTATTACTGTCATAGTCATCACCATCTTCATCAACTTCATCATAGGTTTTTATTCAAGGCACACAAATTGTTTGTATTTTATTTTTTGTTTTCTATCCATGCCCTTGGGCATATGTGAAAATGTGAAGTTTTTTTTTTTAGGGTTCCTATTTAAGTAGAAAGCCTACGAGAAATTATTTGTAACAATATCATACATATACTTATATGTACACAAACATGTGTTTATGTATGTATATGTACACAAACACACACGCTTTTTGTTACCTATATGAAGAAAAAATGATAGGATATTTAACAGTTATTGCATGTTTTATGTAAATGTTATTTTTTAGAAAATAAGAATGAATTTCATTTTGTAAGTGCCACATATACTTTTATGTTAAAACCCTATGGAGCGTAGTTCTACTCTGCACACATGGAGTCAACATGAGTCACAGTCGACTCAGCGGCAATGGGTTTGGTTTTTTAATTAGTACTGAAAATTTGTGCTGTGTATATTTCGTTTTGTTATTTCCTGTCTATCTATTTACTATTTTTATTTTCTGGTACTTGCTTTTTTATTTTTATTTTGGAAAGGCAAGAATGAAATTTCATTTAATTGAGAAAAATGCTTAGTGCCTTAATTCAGTGAAACACTATATGTGGTAGATGTTTTTTATATTTAGTTTTACACACATGTTACCAAAATTGTGTAGCCTTCCCAAACTTAAAATAGAATCTTTATAACCATGATAAAGACCAGTTCTTTGTAGCTCATTTACAAAGCAACATGCATAGCTTTCACTTGTGGTTTTAAACACACGCCATGAAGAGATTCACACATCATGGCCCTCCAGTGTAGTGTGTACTAGATAATCATGTATTTATTTATATCTTACAACTTCTATTGTTATTACGGCCTTGGCGGCCTTTGCCATTTTTTGATTTAAAAGGTCATCGCTTGTCACCAGTTTCATCACAAACAAGGCCAGGGTTATTTGTAATTTGCACTGTTAAAACAGCTCTTATCTTGTTTATCTGATGAAGCACCATAATTATTTCATCTGTGCTTACACGCCTATTTTCTGTATTTTTTCAGATATTACTTTGTTGTTTCAGTTGATGATGTTTTATTCGAAAACAAGCACTTCTTTATGAGGTTACACATTATCTCTTTCTTCATTTCTTTCTTTCATTTTTGTGATTTTAGACTCAGATACATTCTTCTGTTTCTGCCTTAGGGATTGAAACCACAGCATGGAAAAGCCAGGATTGTCAATTGCAATACTGTTCCCACAATTTACATTTTTATGAGATCCTCATTGAAATTGTGAACCAGAGAGGTTATTTTAGATTCAGGTCAAGTATAAAACTTGCCAGGATAAACTTATTTAGTTGTTTTTATGGGCTGGTCATGTATGCAATCTTCCTTGAAATCTTGTGGCCCATTAAAGTTTTATCTTAAAGATCAGGATGATTCTTTTTAATGATCTATCTCTTTAGTATGATCTGAAAAGAAAAATGGAATAAAATATTAATGGCAAGGGTTAGGTTTCAGTTTGATCCTAGTGAGCATGATAGTATGAAATATATCAGTTTGCCAGTCTCAAACTCATTCCCTCATTTTAAGTTGTTAGGTCCCGTGTGATGATAATTCCATTACTGGGGTTTGTCAGGATCCAATAAGATGCTTGCAGCTGATAAGGTCTGAGGTGAACAGTGTCAGCAAACACACAATTGAGGAAACAAAAGACCTTCAACTTCTTGTTCCTCTGTCAGAATCAGATTTTCAGGCCTCTGGGAAAAACAACTTCAAAATGCACCTGAAATTTCTTTAAGACTTTGCATTTTCTTTTCACATCTCCGCAAGCAGTGTGTCAGAGAACAGCAGGAGCTTAAAAAGCTGGTTACTAAATCTTGCTGTGGAATGCCAGATCTTTCAAGACTGCTTGACACACGGATATAGCTTATACTGAGTGATAAGGAAAGGAAAATGTGGTTCTTTTGAGGGTACAAGAGAAATTGTGCAGGATTTTTTTGCTTGGCTTTCTCTCTACCCAGTGGCTTCCTTCAAGCATCCGTGGCTCACTATGAAAATTAAAACAGCTCTGTTTCCTTTTTGGCTAGCCTCATCAAGTGTAATGGAAGAGAATGTCTGTCTACATTAATGTAGTTGATGAACAATTGTTGATGCTTTGTTTGCATAAGCAGAACTTAACTCAGTGAAGTGTTTTTTCTTGCTGAAGTCACCACTGATGTGTTATTTGAACCGTGTTGTGGAGCTGGTCTCTGAACACACATTTGTTCCAATGAGTGTAGTTATAAACGTCCACTAGTGGAGACTGGGGTATTGTAAAGCCTAATCTCATCACACGTTATTTTTGTATCAGGATATTTTTAATATGCTCACTGACTATGCCCATATGCTTTGAAATTTTGACCTGTATATTGCCTTATTCTTGTTTACCCACAAATAAGATAGTGCTCACAAGGCAGAAAGAGAACAATAGATGAAGCTTGATTTCTCTTCAGACAAAGCCAATCATAGGAGCCATTCTTTAGATGACAAACCAACATGTTATCTTTCAGCTCTCCAAATGAATGCTAAGACTCCGTTATTTTAGAAAATTATTATCCAGTCAAAGTCTGCCATTGACTTTCAACTCTAAAAGAAAATAACTTTTTTTGTAACGGACATTCTTCCTTCAGAAGATGCCTATTGTACAAAGTTGTATAACACAAAGAGGGAGTGGAGGTTAGCAAGTACCGAAAAGATTACTTACGAGTGTATGTCACTGATGCTGTGATAAACTGTTGTTTGATGTTTTGTAAAGTTAGAGGCGTTGTTCTCCATTTTGAGCAGAGTGACTTTCTTTTCAAATAGCCAGATCTAGAAGATAATCTAATGATCTAGAAGGTAATCCAATCACTGTTGGTAAAAAGTTGAAATATCCACAGGGGACTTGATCTATACCTGTTGTTGTTGTCTACTGCTATCAGGTCGATTCCGATTCATGATTCCTTACACTAAATATATTCAATTGTATAGGGATTTTGGTGAGAGTCACTGTATCAGATGACCTGCTGGCTAAAACATGCACCACCCAGGGACTTCTAGTTTTTAGCAAGAGGCATTGGAAATCTCTCTATAGGGTTATGATTACCCATTGTCATCGAGTTGATTCCAACTCATATGGACCCTACAGGACAGAGTAGAACTGCCCAATAGGGTTTCCAAGGCTGTAATCTTTACGGTAGCATACTGGTGACGTAGCTTCCAACATCACAGCAACACGCAAGCCACCACAGTAGGACAAACTGACAGATGTGTGGAGATCCAGCAGAATGCGGAAATCATCAAACGGTGTCATTAATATAACACAAAAGTAAAATTTTGCTGAAGATAATTCAAAAATGGTTGTAGCAGTATATCAACAGGAAGCTGCCAGAAATTCAAGCTGGATTCAGAAGAGGATGTGGAACAAGGGATATCATTGCTGATGTCAGATGGATCCTGGCTGAAAGCAGAGAATGCCAGAAAGATGTTTACTTGTGTTTTATTGACTATGCAAAGGCATATGACTGTGCGGATCATAACAAATTATGGATAACACTGCAAAGAATGGGAATTCCAGAACACTTAATTGTGCTCGTGCGGAAGCTGTACGTAGACAAAGCGGCAGTTGTTCAAACAGAACAAGGGGATACTGTGTGGTTTAAAATCAGGAAAAGTGTGCGTTTGGGTTGTATCCTTTCACCATATATATTCAATATGTATGCTAAGCAAATAATCTGAGATGGTTTCTCTTTTGTTAAGTTTTTCTATTCCCCACTTGGCTGCCATTATGGATTGGAGGAGGACTATACATGGATAAGAGTGCCCAGTTTAAAATAATCTTGTTTCAAAATTTAACTGCCATCCCGTAACAAAAGGAGAATCAGCTATATTGTATCCTGGGCTGCTATGGTAAAATTTATTTAACTACCGGAGGAAAAAATTCACCAGCATGGCCAACTTTCAAGCATTCACCCATGGACTTCCCCACTTTTCTTAATTATTGAACATTTTTTTGTGTGTGCGTATGTGTTAACTTCTAGTCCTCCGTGGGGCCTCACTTTCCTTGCATTTGCCATATATTGAAGAAATTTAAGCTGGTAGCTAATATTAGTATTTGCCAAACCTCATTAAGAAGACCTGACCAGGGTGACCTCTCAATTTTAAATTGCATTCCAAAGCCAAAATCAAAATTTAAGATGATTGAGTATTTGGGGATCGTAAAGAGCAGTTATCTTCCTCTTAAAGAAACTTGCTTTTGAAAAATCAAAAAACAAAAAAACTCACAGAAATTTCAAGATGTTTCTAAATCAGTCTCTAAGATTTACAGTTAAATCAGCCAGTTACGTAAGATGAGTAGTTTCTTCTCCTGAATTATTCTGAATTCTTCTCCTTTAGCCAAACTCCAAGCCGTACGCACAGAGCGGCAGGCACTCTGTGTCCGTGGAGGTGCAGATGCAGCGGCAGCGCCAAGAGGAGCGGGAGAGTTTCCAGCAAGCCCAGCGCCAGTACAGCTCTCTGCCTCGGTAAGACGACTCTTTTTAAGTGTTCAAATTCTCCCAGCCCTTTCGGAAATCCCTCCTTTCAAAATCCACTGACATTCCAACTCACACAGGGTAATCCTAGAGGAACTGACAAATGGGTGGCTGAGAATCATTTCACTTAGCTCAAGATGCCATTTTGCTGTATGGCAAGAAGCCTACAAAGAAAGGTGTTTCAAGGAGATGCAAACATTGTCACTGTAAAAGCTCCCTAAGTGAATTAGAAGTTACCTGACATGTGGGTGCTGGGCTTGGGGTCAGACCTGAGTTCTAGTATGGTTCACTACCTACTATCCATGAAGAAAACAGTCTTCTTATCTGAAAAATGGGAAAATAAATCTTACTTTGCTTAGCTTGTGGGATAACTAGAATAAATGATACTTTGTAAAATCTAGAACTCTGTGAAAGTATCTTGTGGTTGTTAGCTGCTGTCCAGCCAACCTCAGACTCATGGCGACCCGATGCATAAGGAAATCGGACTATTGTGACCCTTAGGGTTTTCATTGGCTGATTTTTGGAAGTAGATTGCCAGGCCTTTATTCCTAGTCTGTCTTCATCTAGAAGCTCCACTGAAACCTGTTCAGCATCATAGCAACATGCAAGCCTTCACTGACAAGTGGTAGCTGCACCTGAGGTGCATTCGCCGGGGATCAGACCCAGGTCTCCTGCATGGAAAGTGAGAATTCTACCACTGAACCACATTGCCCACTGCCCGCTGTAAAAGTATAAAACCCGTTGCCAAGGAGTCAATTCTGACTCATAGCGACTGTATAGGACAGAGTAGAACTGCCCCATAGGGTTTCCAAGGAGCGGCTGATGGATTTGAACTGCCGACATTTTGGTTAGCAGCTGAGCTCTTAGCCACTGAGCCACCAGGGTAAAAGTCTAGGGTATTAATACTATATGTATGATACTGACATGAACTCACTAGTACCAAACCTCACTCTCTTATTATTCTGACTTCCCTGCTGTTGTTTAGTGTTGAAGCCAAGAGTCATTGACAGACAATCGAATAAGAAGGGGTTGATCTGCCAGGCTCTCAGGTTGAAGCACCCCTACTCCAGACATTTCTCTGTCAAAGGACAGGAATCTCCCAGGTGACTAAGCCTTAATACATCAAAACAATATCCATTTTTCCATCAAAGTATTTCCTCTGTATATAGTAAAAAAAAAAAAAAAAAAAGTATTTTAAAATGTTCAGCTCTCCAAACTTCCCCAAAACAAGTTACTCTTATAGTCACAGTTCTTACAGGCATTTGTTGTTCTATTTCAGAAACATTCCAGATGACAAAAACATTTTGGGTAGAAAAATCCACAGGCTGTGTTGACATCAAGCAGATTGTTTTGAATTTGAGCAAAACACTTTTTTTTTTTTTTTTCGCAAATGCTTATCTTCGTAGACTTGACTGACCCATGCAAAAGTGATCTTGACTCAGTTTCTAATGAAGTTGAGTCTGTTAAATGTTGTATAATCACTCTAATAACCATCGGAGTTTCTACCACATTGACACTAGTTAGTGAAAGGAATGTGGTTGTGAATGAAAATCTCTTAACAGGATTAATGCCATCTATTTTAGTAACTTGGCTCATTCAGTCATTCTTTTTCAATTTGTAAGGCTTTGTCTCCTTTGAGTACTAAATCACTTTCTCTTTTACGTAGGAGGATCACTCACTGATTGTTATTTAGCCCCCTCTCTCTTAGAGGCCCTGGGTGGTGCAAACAGTTAACATGCTCAGCTGCTAACTGAGAGGTTGGAGGTTCGAATCCACCCAGAGGCACCTTGGAAGAAAGGTCTGGTGATATACTTCTGAAAAATTAGCTGTTGAACACCCTATGGGGTGCAGTCCTACTCTGATACACATGGGGTTGCCATGAGTCAGAGGTGACTTGATGGCAACTGTTAGTTATGTAAGAGTCATTGAAATTTAGATTTGGACAGGACCTTGGAGATTGTCTTCTTTTACACGCAAGAAAACATGCTCAGAGAAATTAAGTAACTTCCCTGTAAGGTCACACAGCCAGGAAGTAATTCTGCCAGAATTCAAACCCAGACCTGCCCATGCCTTGAACCATTATTTTTCGAGGCCCATTGCTACCAAGAACTTTTGTTTTCAAGTTTGCATGATAATGTGGACAGATTAACACAGCTGGTGTAGCCCTGCCACACAGCCACACAGATGGGACCTGTTCATCTGTGAATGGAGCTGGCAGTGCAGGGGCCGTAATCTTATTTTTACTGGCAAGTGGTTTGACTTCACATATTTTAGTTGTGGTTGAAAGTATTTATGAGAAATGAAGGAGAACATTATCAATGTGTATATAATCTGAGCAGTGAGTTGGGAAATGCAAAGGGTTAAGAAAGGGCGGAAGGGGAGAGAGTGATGAGAAGGGCCCTGGAAGGGCAGGACAGCTTGGAGGAAGGAGAGACTCTAGGGTCCCAATCCTCAGGAAGACAGAAAATACAGATAAGATGCAGAGATGCCACTGAATTTCTCCTGGTCACATTCCTCAGTGGTTCATATATTCCAAGCTGAACTTTTTATCATGGCATTCCTCTCCCCTTCTTCACTCTTGTTGTTAGTTACCATCAAGTCAGCTCCTACTCATGGTGACCTTATTTATGTATAACAGAAGGAGACATTGCCAGTCATGTGCCATCTTCACGATTATTGGTATGTTTGAGTCCATTGTTGCAGCCGCTGTGTCAATCCACCTCATTGACACTTTCCCTAATTTTCATTAGCTCTCTACTTTACCAAACACGATGTCCTTTTCTAGTGATTTGTCTTTCCTGATGACATGTCCAAAATAAGTGAGTTGCTTCTAAGGAGCACTCTGGTCATGTTTCTTCTAAGACTGATTTGTTGTCCTTCCGGCAGCCCATGGTATGTTCGATATTCTTCATCAGCACTACAGCTTGAACTGTGGTGTCTTCATTCTTAGTCCCTTTGTTTTCTACCATCTCCTGTTTACATCCTTTTCTTCTTTTCTCTCTCCTTTCTGGAACCCCTTCTAGAAATAACTCTGTTTATATGTAGAGAGAGTTGCTGCAGCTGCTGGTACTACTACTGCTACTACTACTGTTATTTAATTTCTCCCTAAATAACTAAAACTTTCTCTCAGGGTTAATGGTAGCTCCTATTTTAGCCATTTTATTCTATTTACATATGAAAACATTGGAATATCCTAAACAAAGGAGTTGTGTAAGTTTTGGTAAGAAGTGTTGGTGGGCCTCTACCTCATAGTCTGCTGTTAAAGACTAATTTCTCAGTGTGTATCTTTATGTTTGTGAGGAAGATTTTGAATGTAGACCTTTGCACCCGGCTTGTGTCCTTGCAAAGCAAGGCCACTCAACCACAAGCTGTGTGCAGAAATCTGAACGAAGGTAAAGAAATCAAGCAGGAGGTCAACAACCTACATTGAAGATGAGCCAAGTCCAAGTTTCTGACATGTGATATTCTTCAAAGACACTTGACCTCTGCTTTTCGAATGTTGACAATTAGCAGAATTTTATCTAAACAAGTTGGTATGGCATTTGAAACCAAAAAGATTTCATACACACAAGAAGTTCAGTTACAAAATAAAACAAATGGTCAAGATTGTATCGGCCACATTAAATAAGGTGGTTTGAATTATAGGCATGTATGTGAACCAGCATGGTTTGTAAATTCTAACTGTAATTAAGGAACTCTATAGCCAGAATTTGGGTTACACTTTGAAATGTTAAACAAGGGACACTAGCCAGGTAGTAATACTAGTTCAGGAGGAAAGGGGACCTGAGTGCCCCACAGTCAATTTTCAGTCAGGCGAGGGTATTTTCCTTTTTTTATTTCTAATTAGTTCTTTTGCTTAGTATCCCAAAGGCAGCTTTTAAACCCAGTAAAAATATGAGGGAAATCTTGAATGAGATGGATTGACTTAGTACCCATAACAATGGACTCAAACCTGCCAGTGATCATGAGAAGATGGCACAAGACCGGGTAATGTTGTTCTGTTGTACGTGGGATCTCCGTGAGTTGGAGCCGACTCAGCAGTGACTAACAACAACAGTACCAGCAGACTAAAGACAGTGACAATCAATCATTAGTCACTGATAGAAAAGCTTATTCAAGATCCTTTATTGAATATTTTTCCGTTATTTTATTTTCCTTCTCTCTATTTCCTCTATGTTTCCCCTGTCCCTCGGCTTCACTTGTTATCTGGCCTCCTTGCTTGGTGAGCTTCCCTTCTCAGCTGTGTCTTTTTACCCTTACATGGTCTCCCTGCCAGACCCTTTCTTATGGCTCTAATCAGCTTGCCATCCTTTCAGCCCTGGTCTTTGTATCTTCCCTTGTTCTTTTACCTCCACCTCTTCTTTGTCCTCTTCACTGCGGTGGCTAAATGGCTTTCCTTAGGGACTGCATCCTTATGAGGTTAGATATTATGCCCATTTCACAGATTAGGCAAGTTGGGTCCAACCAGCATAACTTTCCCAGGGTCACCCAGCTGACAAGTGGTAGATATGGGATTTAAACTTACGTCTATCTGCTTCCAAAGCCACTCTCCCACTTCACGCTGGTGCCTGGTGACTAATTTTCTAATGTAGCAAATTCTTATTGCCTGCTTCTTCCTTCTCTTGCTGCTCTAAAGTCTGCTCATTTCTTGTCCTCTTCTTAATCAAGAGTTTAGTGATGCCAATAGCTTCCTTACCAAGGAAACATGTATGTGTTATGTATGTATTGTATCAATGCATGTATGTATCTGTGTATTGTGTGTGTATATATGCATCAATGTATGTATGTGTGTGTATATATTTATGTATGAATGCATGTATGCATGCATGTGCATTTATGTGTGTCTGCATGCATGTATGCGTATGTATCTATCTGTGCATGTGTATTTACGTATGCATTCTCCCACATATCTTATTTCAAACCTTTGGGCACCTGGCTTCCTTCTCTCTATGCTGATTACTTTGAAGAAAGTTTTAGCTAAAAGAAATTCTTTTCTCCCACATCTTCATGAATTCCATCCCTAACAAACCTTTAGTGAATTCTCAATGTGTTTAAATATAGAAGACTGTCTTCCTGAGATATTTCGCAATTCAACGTGCAATACACAACCTCCATAGAGCAAAGCCTCAGGCTTCATGGAGTGGGAGAGTGAGGGGGCTACTGGGTCTCCATAGGCCAAGGATGAAAAAGAGGGCACATTTCTGCAGCCTATTTCTGGTTATCTTTAAATTGATAACTAACCCGTAAAGGAATCCCACAGTTGTTGCTGTAACATCAGTAACAAGTTTGTTGTTTTAATTAAAGTGTCATGATTAATGTCAAATCCCTTGTTTCATGCCAGTACTTTCCATCATTCATGTCTCTGGGCAGATTAATTTATGACTTTTTAAGTGTAGATAATCAGTGCTTTAGGCAAATAAACTATTCCATCAAATCTAAGGATTCTTGCCTGGACTGATAGTACAAATGCTTCTGACTCCCATTAAAAGAGAACCAGATAGATATACTGTAGACTGCTCAATTAATCATCATCACAGCCGGAGATGATGCTGGACGTTAAGTGTGTTCTGCTTATTGAAAATATCCCTAACGACATTTTAGGCCATATGGAAAATGGGCACATTTCATAGCAAACCATATTGATGGCACTTCTGAATGCTCCAAAATGCAAATGGCTTCATTCCTGTGGGAGACCCAATGGCTTCATAGACCTTATTTTTCCTCTCCAGGAATCTTTGTGAACACTAAGCCATGTTGTGTATGTTGATGTTAACGGCGAGCAGTACATGCTGTCGCCAAATGATTTTCTCATTGATAAATGGAGCAATATATTTTGTTTTATTACTCAATTCTCTTTCCCCTTCTTCCATTTTCCAGGCAAAAAATTAGGGCATGTCTTCCTTTCTGGCACAAAATTGTTTTACTTTATCATAGCCAATCTTATTGTAAATTCATGAAAGCATCTGGGGAATTGATAGTAAGTTAAAGATGTTTCAAAACAATAATGTTCCCTGAAAATGATGTGTAACTTTATTACAGAAGTGATAAGAATTTTGAAAATTCTATAGGGTCCTGATTTATTCTCCTCTTCTGGGCTGACAGCAAGTGAGTGAAGCAGGTTATCCTGGCCTTTGGTAGAGGTACATTTTGCAGTAACATAGTGCTTACTCTACAGGCTGGTGGGTCCCACAATCCTGATGAGCACGTACTCTGATAATGTCAGTTGCTGACACATCCATTTCTAAAGCTGGTGCTTTAAGGGACTGCCTGTTGCATTTTTAATCATAAAGGGGTCTAGACTTAAATCTTTCAAAACTGAACTCATATTGTAATCCATTACATGTACTTCATATTAGCTCGCGTCTCTGACATTATGGTGGCAGCTGTGTAAAATATTTGTTTTGCTTGTTTAGAATTGAATTGTAATGTTCTAAAGCAGGCAATTATTGCTGCGGTAGAAGCTGCCAGATCTCTGATACTCCTATATAGCATCTTGCCGATGTGTCTAAATTGCCGGAGATGTTGTTACCCTGAGCAGAACAGACAAGGACCTATCCAAACACAGAAAGAGCACCCTGTTTTATGAATAGCTGTGGGGTTGTGAGGGGTGTGTAGGTGTTTTGAAAAGGGAATGGTTTGCATTTTCTTAATTGCCTAGAGAGAATATCTTTCTACACGGAAATCTGATCTGACATCTCCTCCTTTTAAAATCCATCAGAGGCTTCCCGCTGACTCCAGATACAGTCTTGACTCCTTAGCCTGACTAACTAAGCTTTCTTGACCTATCCCTTTTCCAGCTGAGTGCCTCCGTGAGGCCCTTCTTATACCTGTCTCCCTGGTTGACACAAATGGTTAAGCACGCATCTGCTAACTGGAAGGTTGGTGGTTTGAGTCCACTCAGAGGTGCCTTGGAGGAAAGGCCTGGTGACCTACTTCTGAAAAATCAGCCATTGAGAACCTTATGGAGCACAATTCTGGTCTGACATACGTGAATCAACTCAATGGCAACTGGAAAAAAACAAACAAACAGACACGCACAACCACTTGTAGATACCACAGACCCTTTGCTTAGCTGCTCCCCTGCTGTAATGTCCTTCTACCCCACACCCTGCTGGGTTACTCCTTATACACTAGAATTCAGTCGAGGCATCTTGTCTTCCTGAAGAGTCTTCCCTGACATGCCTTCCTCACAACACTCCTACTCTAGGTCAGGTGCCCACTTCCGTGTTTCTGTATTCATTCTCTTTCCTATTTAGTCATTGTTGTTTACTTATCCAAGACTATAAGCTTGCTGAGGACAGCTGAGTCTTTTCAGTGTTGAATCCTTCAGCCCTGATCATAGCGACTGCCACATGATTGGAACACAGTGATGTTTGTTGAAACATTGAAGTGCGTATTCTACCCCTGATCCTTCACCCTTCCTTCGTCTTTTCCTCCTCCTTTTCCTCTCTCTCTGCCCTTCCTCTACCCTCATGCTAACCTTTGGGTTTTGATTTCTAGGCAAAGCAGGAAAAACGCCAGTTCTGTCTCCCAGGATTCTTGGGAGCAGAACTACGCCCCTGGGGAAGGCTTCCAGAGTGCCAAGGAGAACCCCAGGTACTCTAGCTACCAAGGTTCAAGGAACGGCTACATGGGCGGGCACGGCTTCAATGCCAGGGTGATGCTTGAGACCCAGGAGCTCCTGCGCCAGGAACAGAGGCGGAAAGAGCAACAGATGAAGAAGAAGCCTCCTCCCGAGGGGTCCAACAACTATGACTCATATAAGAAAGTCCAGGACCCCAACTACACCCCTCCCAAGGGGCCCTTCCGGCAAGACGTGCCCCCCTCCCCTTCTCAGGTTGCTAGGCTGAACAGACTGCAGACTCCTGAGAAAGGGAGACCCTTTTATTCCTGAGCAGGAGAAGAGCAGAGTCTTCATGTCATGCAATAAAGGACATTTTCCTATGAAGACTTGTATTTTGGAGCATTTTTTTAAAACCTTGACGGTACTATGGAGTATTTTTGTTGTCAGTATCAGTGCCTTTAAGGAGTATGGGCAAAGAAATGGAAGGCCTTAATGTCTTTGCCGCTATGTCTCAAGTGTCTGTTTCATGGAAGGATTTCCCACCATCTGACAATCATCTGTTCAAGGTATTCACATGTTCTGCATCTCTCTAGGGTACCAGGAATCTTGGCCCAATTCATGACACGTCCAGAGCTTTGCTATTACAGCCCCACAGAACCTGTGGAGACAGATTAACTTGAAGTTGAGGGTGGTATTGATCCCTCTTTTTCCCTTTACTTTTTCTTAGATGTTAAGGCAACATGTCAGCCTCTGGTGGATGAGAGTGGGTGACATACACCAGAAACTGGAGTTTTATGGTACTTCACAACACACCCATTTCTGGTACTTTGTAGTCAATACAGTTTCCCCTTTTCTTTCTCAGCTCCTTGTGAAAGGAAAGTTTTTTTGTCCTATTGAAGATGCTAAGCCATATTCCAACACTTTTTGTTTATCATGGGGGTCCTTTTGTAACTGCCTTATAACGCAACATTACCAATAAAATTAACAGTGATGGTTGCAGTCTGTGTTTATAAATACCCTTGCTCAGTCATGTTCCTAACACATTTTCTGAGTCCCCACATCTCTGCGTAGGGAACGTAGGAGATAGGGGTGATCAACGGTGGCGGAAGGGCCAGGCCTGCCCGTGAACCTCTGCGTGGATTGTAATGTGGGAGGTGGTAGCTAAGAAAAGAATTTTCCCAGCATGAGCTTATACTCCAGCATATCCCAATAATTATTTTAATTACTTTTTGTTCTGACAGGTTGCCAGGAAGGACTTAGAGTGGGGCAAAGATAAATCAGACAGCCATTTTTGGATTCTAAAAACTGATTTCTATGGTTTTTAAAGTCGCTTGGAATTCATGTCTGCCTAGTGCACCCACATACTATATCTGTCTGGTGATGCCATATGACTAAATAATTCTACCACAAAATGTAAAAGGCAACCATAGCACATCCTACAGAGAACATGCTGGTGTCCCACCACAGTGGTGACAGAAGATTGCTCTCGTGTCGATATTTTTAATGTACATACGGGTCACAAGAACCTCTGTTGCTCACATGTTTTCATTTGTTCGTCTTAACTTCATGTATTGTAAAGCATAGCCGGGTTGCTGAAGTGCCTGCAAATCCTGATGTGAAAAAAGCTTGAGATCAGAGCTCAGCATACTGTGTATTAACAAAAAAGAAAGAAAGAAAAAAAAAAGACATGTATTGATACACCTTTTTTTTTTTTACTGGCACATTGTATTTTTGTGTCAATTTGTTTTTAGAAAATATGTGAAGTGTCCACACACGTACCTGTGTCTTATTTTTACACATTTCTGTCTTGGTTCTTTTTGTTAATAATGTGCAGCGATGTTTCAGTGGCATGACCATGTAAGTGTGGCGGCCTGGGATGGCAGTGGCTGTTTCTCTCAGCCCTCCCTGAGCTGTGAGAAACAGCTTTCCTTGTATATATGAGACTTATAATAAAAGACATATTTCTTCCTGTTCTTGTGGTGTCTGTGGTATTCCTGGGGAACCTCTCCTAACTGTTTCTTTCTTTAAAGTGCATTAGCAGATGTGATTTTTTTTCATATTCAGAGACGGTTGGAAGTTCTCTCTGATCTCTCTGTGTGCAAACACGGAAATGAGCGATTGATTGCTTATTGGAACACCTGAGGAGGAAGGGGACAAGAAAAGAGAAAAGGACCTGCTTAATGAGTCCCCTGGAAGAGGCCTAGGCTGACTCAAAAAGCAAGGGAGATTCTAAAGTGCAGGAGCCAACACACCAGAACTAAATAAGAAAAAATTATACAGAATGCCAATAAAACAAACAAACAAACAAACGAACAGCAATTACCATTGAGTTAATTCCAACTGAAGGTGACCCCATGTATGTCAGAGTAGAAATACGCTCCATAGGGTTTTCAATGGCTGATTTTTCAGAAGTAGATCACCAGGCCTTTCTTCCAAGGCATTTCTGGGTGGACTTGAACCTCCAACCTTTTGGTTAGCAGCTGAGCACGTTAACCGTTTGCACCACCCAGGGACTCTGCGGAAAGCTAAAAAAAAACCTATTGCTATAGAGTCAATTCAGACTCATAGTGACTCTCTAGGACAGAGTAGGACTACCCCATAGGGTTTCCAAGGAACACCTGGTAGATTCAAACTGCCAAACTTTTGGTTAGCAGCTGAGTTCTTAACCACTGCACCACCAGGACTGTCTGATATTTCCATTACTACCCTTTGCTCCCTTTGAATCATTTTGGCAGGCTAGCTGTTTTGGTTGAGGCCTAGCCTGGAGTACTGTGAGCTCAGAGAATGATCCAAATCCTATCTGCTGCCAATACTAATCTGGTTCTTATTTCCCAACTTACAAAGTAAGGCTTTGCTATTTCTTTTAGATGGACACTTGTTACTATTTGTACGGTATTTTGAAGGCATAAAGGAGTATATATTTGTAGTTTGTTTTAACTATCTTATGCACATATACAAAGATAGATGTGATTCCTACCCCAAGGGCAAACTTCCCAAGGACTTATCAAAAATGTCCTCCTCACTGAGTACCTGGCATCAGTTGATCATCTTGTCACAAAATCCAAATTCTATCACCTGAAGATTAGTAATCAGGTATATGGCCTGCCAAGTAAATATCACCTCTTTGGTTTTTACATCCATGCAAAGTATGGGAGAGTAGAAAAGGAAAGATGGATAGATTTGTTCATTTTCTCACTGACCAGGAGGTCCAGGGCAAATGCCAAAATTCTCAGGTTATTTATCCCTACTGACAGCAAGAAGCAGAGTAAGAGAGGCAATATTGAATATTGTGGGGGCCCAAATCACAAAGGAATTTATAGATTAAGTAAGAGAGGCAATATTGAATGTTGTGGGGGCCCAAATCACAAAGGGTTTATAGATTAAAACTGACAATTTGAGGGTTACTGAGAAGAGAAGTAGGAATAGATATAGACAAAAGAGAAAATATGCTCCACAAAGAAGCAATCTCGTCTCAGTGAACTGCCCTTCTGGCTCCCAAACACTTCCTGAGGCCTTCAAGGGTATGATGGGAAGAGCGTGTCTAGAGGAAAAGCCAGACCGGGCACTATCAAGACTTGCCGTTTTCTATGCTTTGAACCCCCAGAGAGAAACCTCACATCCATGAAAGGGAGCACATACTTAGATGAGGATGGAAAGGAGTAACTCAACTGTCCCTTGAAAAAGACTATGAAGTTATCACCACTCTTACTGTTAGGGAGTTTCTGGGTGATGCAAACAGGTAGCATGCTCTCCTGCTAACCAAGAGAGGATCGGCGGTTGGCATCCACCAAAGACGCCTAGAAAGAATGGCCTTGTGATCTAATTCTGAAAAAAAAATCAGTCATTGAAAACCTTACGCAACACAGTTCTAAAACACTGTGCAAATAGTAATGAGTGTCCATCTAAAAGAAATAGCAAAGCCTTACTTTGTAAGTTGGGAAATAAGAACCTGACCAGTGTTATGACACACATGGGTTGCCATGAGTTGAATTTGACTCCGTGGCAACTGGTTTTTATCCATTAATACTTCTCCTTATCTATGTCATTTAGACACCACCAACACCTCCGCTCCCTGTGGTCAGTTAGGCCAAAGGAGCTCAGAGGTCCAAGCATTCCACAATGGGCAGGGCTGTCCATCAACAGGAAGGTGAGTGGTACCTGGGCTTCTCAGACTTTCTGCCAAGGAAGTCAGATATACCAAACCAGAGACAGTACACCAAATGAATTTTCTGTTTTGTTGAATGGGACAGTTGGCTTTATTTTAGACCCATTTTGAAATGGGGAAGAAAACATGAAAACAGACAACTTTGACATCAGTGTTTTCCATGATCGTCCTCCATGATGAGTCTGAAAACAAGGCTTTGAAAGGTAAGAAACTAGGAGTCAGTCCGGCTTCTTGAGTCTAATGCTGTCCAGTCCTGCCCAGATCATTGTTCTTAATTTACCCACGGTTACTTCCAAGGCTGTTTCTCTTCCTCCAATATTTTTTATGAGAAAGTGCACGTTTGCATATACATGTTACAGGTATGTGTAGTTTATGCGTATGCAATTCTATATATTTCCTATGAAATTCTATATATGTCCTGTGTTGTTAGTGGCTATCATGTCTTCTCCAATGCATGGCGACCTTGTGTGTAACAAAACAAAACATTGCCTGGTATTGTACCATCTTCATGATTGTTGGTATCTTTGAGCCCATTTTTGCTGCTATTTATAAATCCTTAAAGCTCTGGTATTCCCCCAGATGAAATCAGCCTATTATTAAGCATATAGTTCTTTGCTTCTGACTTTGTTAGTCATGGGAGAGTAAACCACTAAAGTTCAACTAACCACCTCTAAGCACATTACATTATGAATATTTTCCTTTGGGTAGCATAGTGTGGCATAAATGTAAGTATCTATTTAAAAATCAGGTTTAAATTTTTTCTTTTTTAAAACAAAGATTACTACAATGATGTGTCAGATAGGGAGATAATCTTCTTACTTCAGAGACAGGATATCATCTTAATAAGGCAGCTAATAAGAACATTCACAGGTCAGAAAGTGAGAGTGACGGAGATGCTTTAATGGAAACCATCTTCAGCTCTGAGTAATGATTAGATCACAAAAGCTGGTTGAATTAAATTGACTTTTTTTAATGTGTGAGGGATTAGGGTGGTAATTCTGAATATAAGTTTTTTTTTTTAAACAATAAAATGACATTTTACTTTAGAGCTCATGAGGAAAATAGAGTGTCATTGCACACCACATCACAGAAAATTATTTTCCCGTTAGATGTGTTCTTCCCTCCAAAATTCATCATCTTTCAGGCCAGCCCGCACTCATCTCACCTCTTCTTCCTTCAACATCTTTGCCACAGGCGTCTTGTCCTTAGCTTTCATATCCTATTCAGCAAAGTAAAAATCTGTGTGTGTCCTTTGTCCATAAGTTACATTTCTTTACATTAAGCACATAGTAAGAGATTTTACTTCTAAAGACTCCCATTATGGCTCCTGTCAGGTCAAGAATCCTTTGTTAGAATAATCACCTCTCCTCACAAGTTCTTTTCTTCTCTGAGTTCAGATTTAAGGGATCAGTTTTTATTTTCTGATTTTTAAATTTTTTTTAAGCAAGTTATGTCTGCATTAGTCTCTGTCACTCTCCAGATGGGTCTATTTAATACAGGACAGAGGAGAAAAATTCTAGCAACAATGGACTAAGTTGTCCCACAGTGAAGTTGAACAATTACTCATCTTTCATGCTTAGCGCTTATCTGCTCACAGGATCAATTAAAGGTGTGAAGAACACCCATTTTCCAAATTGCTGAACTGACTGCTGAGTCACCTCACACTGCTGTTGGCTTAGAAAAGACATTTGGAGTTTGTTCATAGACGTGGTAGATGCCTCAGGAAGGATCTGATTCTCCTCCCCAGAAGTCAGCTGGAATATGGTGATGTTTGCAGGAGACTTTCTTCTTTCTCTGAAGGCAAGTTTTGCTGCTTGGTGGAAGCTTCCTTCTGAAACTGAAGTTTGGCTTCCATGAGGGATTTTTATGATGCAAATATTTTAAGTACAACTTTGAAAGTTTTGCCATTAAAAACAGTTTCACATGGCTCCAGTCCCAGCCTGTTGCAAACAACGGGGGAGAAAAGTGCTATATATTGCTGGCATATGACAGGAAGGAAAACAAAGCAAATTTCTAAACCAATCATGACCTTGGTTAATGAGCTGGTTTCAGGGTTCAGTTCATATCTGACTTGCTTTTATTCGGTTTTAGTTGTCAGTGGCAACATACTTATCACAGCTGTTTATGTTGGGATGAAATGAGTGAAAACATTAGCCTGACAACCCAGAGCTGGGTCAGATTAGGGGTCACCAACAAATGCGAGGTATTTGGGAATAAGGCAAACTTTGAACTTGTCTTGTGACGCCTCAGAGTGAGTTTGTCCTACACATGCCTTGACTTGCAACTCCATTTCCAAACTCGCCTTAATTTTATCTGCTTGGCTTGACTTCCGTCTGAGCCCAAGAGCTCCCCCTCTGGTCCAAGCAACCAAAGCATTCCCACTAAAACAGACCAGTGGTTACAGTCGGCAAGCTGCCTCTGGCTTCCCACTTTATTTGGTTGATTCATCTGTATAGCATTTTTGGAAAACATTCCCATCTTTTCTGTTTGAGTCTCAAAACCCTGCGATGCAGGTTAGAGAAGTGTTAGTCCAAATTTGACACAAGAGGACACTGAGACTCACAGAGCTTGTGACATGCCAGTGATGCAGTTGGTGAGTGGCTTAGTCAGAATGCAAAACCCATTGTCCTAACTGCAACCAGGGTTTTCATAGGCTGATTTTTGGAAGTAGATCACCAGGCCTTTCTTCCTAGTCCGTCTTAGTCTTGAAGCTCTGTTGAAGTCTGTCCAGCATCATAGCAACCCTCAAGCCTCCACTGACAGATGGGTGGTGGCTGTGCTTAAGGTTCATTGGCCGGGAATCAAACTC